CCAGCAGGTGCGCGCTTGGCCGCCCCGGGCGGGTGCTCACTCACCCGACCCCCCTCCAGGGGCGGGTCAGCAGGGCGCGGCGGAGCGCGGACACGCGCGGCAGCATCTCGAGCTCGCGGCGGGCTTATGGGCGGGAGCGTCCTGCCTGGCGCTTCCAGGCTGCCCGGCCCCGCCCGGAGCGCACCACTTCACTACGAAGGGGAGACCAGATCACCCCGCCTGTCCTCCCAGCTCGGAGCCAGAAAAGCTCGCCGTATATCTACCTCCAGATAATAAAATTAGTCCTATTTTGGTATGATAGAGGCCTAAGGTAGCACAGGATTAGGGAATCAGAAAGCGAAGTCCTGACGTGTAAGCGTTTTCCCCTCCTCTCTTTAGGGTATGACCCAGAAGAGGCGAGGGCGTGAGCCCCAACGACCAATCAGAGTGACACGTGGAAGCCTCTGAGCCAATCAGCGGACCGGCCTGGCAGCGGCCTTCCTAGGCCCGGGGGAGGGGAAAGAACGAGCCAATGAGAGAGCTGGGACGGGACACGTGCTGCGGCGGAGCGGAAGCCCTCGCCGCGCCGGGCCGCCGGGGCTCGCGTCAGGTGCAGCGACTGTCTTGGTCCCTCCTCTGCCGCAGGCAGACGGGTGGGAAACTGGAGTTCCACCCGGCAGGGTCACACCGCGGCCAGCCCCTGGGATGAGCCTGCCCTCCACCTTCCGGCCAGTTTCCCAGGGCCTGCTTCCTTGCAGATTACGATCAGGACAAGCTAGAACCCCAGCCGGCCAATGCTTAGCTTTTCCCGCTAAACCGCTGGCGGCAAAACCAGTTATTCCCGCGCCTGTTTCCTCGGTATGGAAATTTCCGTCTTCTTTGCGAGAAGGCATTTGCTTGATGCACGCCCGACCTTTACCCAAGACCTGGATTCTGATGTCGTCTCTGATGATGAGGTCTCAGGGACCCGATCTAGTCGTAACGTTTGCTTTTCTCACCCTCTGCTCTAATTTGTTTCCATTTCCTCCAGCAGCGTGAACCGGGCACCTGCTTAGGTGTCCGTTCCAACGCCAATTCTGGTTTCCCAATAGGACAGTGGGCAGAGTATATATATCTTGCCCTGGCCTGAGTTTTTTCATCTGTAAAATGGAGGTCATACTACCCATTTCAGAATGGCCCGATAGACTGGGCACAGTGGCTCCTGCCTGTAATCCCAGCACTTTGAGAGGCCAGGGTTGGGAAGATCACTTGTGGCTAGGAGTTTGAGACTAGCCTGGGCAACATTGTGAGACTCCTATCTCTACAGAAGAAAAAAAAAATTGTTTTAAGTGATCCGTTCATGGATGTGTGCACCTGTAGTCCCAAGCTACTAAGGAGGCCGAGGTGGGAGGATTACTTGAGCTCGGGAGTTGGAGGCTGCAGTGAGCTATGATTGAACCTCTGCACTCCTGCCTGGGTGACAGCGAGAGATTAGAAAAAAAAAAATCATCTCAGGTCACTCTTTTTCCTCCAGACGATACCATTTAAGACACGTTTTAAGTGTTTAAATGGAGACTAGGAAAGGGAAACCACCTAAGTGCGAGTCTTAGAAATGTCAAGAAGCAAATTGGACTTGGTGGTGGCTGTTTGTCTTCATCCTTGGGGAAGGTTCCAGTCAGGTGGGCTCAGTTCACACGGGGGCAATGTTGCCTGGATGTGGCTGTTAACCAGGAAGACGGGAGCATTGAACGGTATCAGATCCAGAGGCCCGGAAGCTGGCCCCCTGTTGGCACAGTGGAGGCGCTTGAGAAATGAGGGCTTTGTGCTTAGAAGGACCTTGATTCCAAACCAGTTATTCAGCCTGTGAGCTCTCTGACCTGCTCTTTACCTTTAGTAAAATGTGTTTAATAATTCCTGCTTTATCTTCTTCCAAAGATTTATTGTGAGAGGCACAAATAACAGGTGATGTTATTTTAGTGATGTATTTTATCACTAATTAGTGATGTATTTTATCACTAATTAGCTAATGAGTTTATCTGAGTGTATGTGGCCCTCAGTCCTCTTACCCCTCCCCCATCACCAGACTCATCCTCAATTAAAAAAAACAAACAAACCATCAATTCTAAGATATTTCACTTTATTTAAAAGAAGCCAATATACAGGATATAAAGGGCATGATATTTACAACAGTACAGTAAACAGGTTGGTTTCTGGTAGGATCAGTAGTCTTTCAGTGAGTAGAACCCCCCCCCTTCCCTGTGAGACTAGACCCCGCGGGCAAACAGCAACAGGGGGCAGGATGGAACCGTGGGGTATAAAGTCTCCCTGGATGGGGCTAAAAATCAGGTAGATGCAAAAATTGTCCACAGAGGGGTGTTGCAGGGGAGGGCTTTGCCTCATTCTCTGAGGTCTTGGGAAGGAGCAGGAAATGGTGAAGTGTTTGCCCAAGACTCACACACAGCCCACTCTGCACCTGGGAATCTTCCACTCATGAAAATGTCCTTCCAGAGGGAATCTGGCTTTACCCGTACCCAACCCTAGCCACCTCTAGACTCCCCGCTCCAGGAAAGGGCCCTTCTTTCTAGAGACAGAACTCGGCATCTCAAGCAGGGGAAGGAACCAGGGCTGAGGAAACCTGTAGCACTGGGTCCCCCACCCAGGAGCATGGGAAGGACTGCAGCCCAGACCTCGCCTGGAGTAGGCACAGCCGGGCTGGGCTATGGGCCTCTTAGGGCATTTCCCCTTCACCAGCTGCCTGATGACCTGGGACCCAACAGCCCCATTGCCACCCACACTCTGCTGCCTCTCGACCCTCTCCCAGTGCAGCCAAGTGGGGATGGATCTTGGCAGACAGAGAGGAACCAACCAGGGCTTGTCCCCTACCACCTCTCCCTGCCCCCTCTCCACCCCACCTCAATTCTGAATTCCCTGCAGCCACCCACCCCCACAAGTGCCCCCTCAAGACTTCCAAGGAGCTGAGGGGTCAGGAGAGAGGGCAGTGGGGTGAAGTGGAACCTACACTTTGCAAAAACTGCTTACAAGTGGGGACACCTGCACGTAAGGACGGAAGATGGGGTGGGGAAGGGGTACCGATTATATTCAATCCCAGGGCAACATGCACCAACTCGTCCACAGGAAGATGCTTGGCTACCACAACTGCCTACCCTAGATTAAAAAACCTTTCCTTTCATAAAAATAGATGAGAGTCTCTTGCTTTATAAATAGATTACATTTAGCTTAAGTTACACCTTATACAACCCTACCCCACCCCCTCTCCTCCCACCCCAAGCCAAAGTGGTTAGATTCTCCCTGTCATCTGAACTAAGTCCACAAGGGGCTGACTGGTCCTTCAGAGACCTCAAGACATGTTGCCACAAGAAAGCAAAATGTGCTTGCTTGTTAATCATCTTTTGTCCTGTTTCAAGTCTCAGAGGAGTGAGTGAGTGTGTGTGTGTGTGTTTCCATCCAGGGAGCCCTGCCTCCCTAGTCCTCTGTATAAAACCCCCAAAAACAGGAGAGTGAGTGAGGACAGTACAGGAGAGTCCATCTGAGAACAATTCTAAAATACCAATGTCAATATGACACTGGGCTTAGAAATAGAAAATCAAAATTAAGTATTTACAGCTTTACAAAGGGCAGACCCATTTGTCCCAGCTAAGTGTGGCACTACCCCAGGGAGCGTTGGGGTCTTTCTTGGCAAGCTGTGGGCTCGTGGCGAGGGGACAAACAGTGCCCACTGGCAACTAAATGAAAAAAGCACATGACTGGGAGGCAGGAAGTCAGGCCAGACCCAGGAACCAGCCCAGGACACGGGCCCATCATCCTTTTCCCCTCACCTGCCCAAAATCCTCGCTCCCCAAGAAGGAGAGCAGATATTAAAAGCCAGTAGGAGGGGACTCTCCGGCCAGCATCTCTCTCTGGCTCCCGCCACTCTCAAACTCCCTAGACAAATTCAGAGCACCCTTGTCCCCAGAGACAAATGACCTATGTGTACAAGGGAGAAAGCAAAAAAGAATACCACTGGACACCAATCATCATGGTAACCATGGTCACTTCCAATCCTAACACCGCTGCCCCCTGTCTTAACTCTAAAGATATGTCTGTTACCCTCCACCACCTTGAGGAACAACCCAGGGCAGACTTCCACCCTGCCCTCTCAACTCCTAGAGCACGACGTTCCATGCCTCCCTCAGCCCTGGACGGAGGGGACCATGGGATGGCCGTTTTCCTGCCCTCGTGGAAACGGAAAATCTTTTCAGCAGCTGAGGTCCAAGCCCAACCGGCTCTGATAACCTTTGGTTAAAATAAAAATAAAACAACAACAACAACAATAATTGGGTATGTTTGAACCCTGTAACCTTTGGAACAAGGGTCAGTGAGGAGGAGAGGAAAGAGACTGTCTCTCTTCCAAAACCATCGTCCCTCCAAGTACCTGCCAAAAGGGACTGTTTGGCTAACAAGAGATGCTGACCACGGAAGCCCCGCAGCCAGACTGCCATAGGGGATCCATGAGGTGTCGTCCCCCCAGCAAAACAAAACAAAGAAAAAAACTCATGAAGGCCACCAAATTCTGATAAATTACATCACACATAGTCACAAACACACTCTCACGCTCTCTTGCTATACATATATATGAATATGATGTACATTATTTTTAAGATGGTAAAAGAGGTGGGGGAAACGGAAGAGAGAGAAGACCCTTAAAGAAAGACCCCTGGTACCCTGGGGAGGAAAGACAAACCCAGAGCTGCCTGCCCAGCCTCCTAACAAGACAGATTTTGGGCACAGTTTGCTCTCTTGCTCTCTTGACCACCAGAGGGAGATCCTGGGCCAACGAAAACAAAATCGGCAGCACCCCCACCACTGGAGAGGGTACAAAAAGAAATTTAAAATAATAATAGTAACAACAATAATAATAAGCCAAGCCTGCTCTGCTGGCTCCTAGCTGAGAATTGGCGGGTGGCCTCAACACAGCGCCCTTCAACTCAGGCCCCCTCTAGCCATTCAAGTCTTGGGGAGATACCGGCTCAGAACTCCCGGCTGGTCAGTCATGTGACCGCTGGCAGGAGGCTGGCAGGCCTCTGTGAGCAGGGCAAGGATGGGCCTCGCTAGAGCTCCTACTCCGCCAGCAGCCCCCAGTGCCTCCGCCCTCTTCTCTTTCTGATGCCTGATGCCTCTTTCCTGCCAGCAGCCAACTGCAGGGTAGTCCTAACCCAAGGCTGGTGGAAGGGAACAGAGACCAGGCCAGGTCCCTTCAGTCTTTTTCATAAAGAAATTATAGATGGAGAACATCCTACTGTTGGCTGCAAGGGAGGGAAGCACATCAAGTCATCAGGGTAATAAAAGACCCCCCACCCTGCCCTAGACCCACAGAGGCCCTAAAGACAGCAAGCAGTCAGGTGGGCTGGGCCCTTGTGGGGACCCCGGACTCATTACCAACCTCGGCTGAACCCACTCCCCAGTCAGTGCTCACTTTGGAGGCTGTGAGAGAGATCGCCTAACCTGGGCCTCCCTCCCAGTTCCGGGGGACACCAGGGGTCTGGGGGAGGGCTGACCTTCCACAATGATATAAGGCAAGCTGCTTTTTTTGTTTTTTTGTTTTTTGCATAGTAGTTTAAACACAGTGAGGCTCCACCTTCCCTCACAGTGCCTTGTCCCTCCACTTTGCCACTTGAGCCAGAAAGAAAATAAAAATTTGTCTTCCCTCCCTTTCTTCTACCTTGTTCTCTTTCAGGGAGTGAGAAAATTTGGTCCCCGACCAGGCCTGGAAAGGTTTCAGAGGCAAAGGGCCCCTCCCCAGGGGGGAGGCAGGCCACCCCAGGCCCCAGGTCAGTCTGCACTGGCCACAGAGGAAGGGAGGGCATAGCTCACGGCCAATCAGAGGAGCAGGTGGGATGGCAGAAAACCACACGACATCACGACAGGGCCCTGGCCCTTGCCTTAGAATTTTATATAAAAACACCTGCTAGGAATAGTTCTTTGAGCTCAAAGTGGCTCAGCTTAGGGAAAAGGCACAGTTAACACTGCATCGTCCGGACAGAAGTCTGCATTTGTGATGTGGAGAACAATAGAAATTGACAGCACCATTCCTTGGGTGGGTGGGGGTGGAGAAGGGGCACCGGTTGGTGGTGGGTGGTGTGGAAGGAAGGAAGGAAGCAGCAGTCCCTCAGGCCTCCAGAGAAGGGAGGCCATAGGAAGTCTGTGTGGTGAGGACTCACACCCCACTCCGAGGAGCCTTCCAGGCACGCAGGGCCTCAGTCATCAGCTGACCATGGGCTCCACATCTGCCTCACGCTCGAACTCATCCTGGATCTCGTCTGTGCTTCCTGAGTCGCTGCTGGCCACGGAGCTGGGGGACGGGGAGTTCCTGGGAAGCACAAGAGGATGGGGACACTCAGAGAGCAGCTCTGGCCCTGAGGCTCAGGAGGGGGAAGGTTGAACAGCCACTGCTGTACGATCTACCCTCAGAGGGGGCCCTGCCCCAAGACCCTGCCCTCCCCCACTTTCCCCAGAATCCCTTAGGCCCACACACTGACCCCTGGCTCCAGCCTCTAAGTGGTCTAGGTGTGTTGGCTTCTCTAGACAAGGCCCCCTGGAAGAGGAACCATGGCTCAAGCTTGGTTTTTTACCCTCCAACCAACTAACACAGGTCTGGGCACATAGTAGGCACTCAGTAAACCCCAAATGCCTCACAGCTCAAAGGGAAGCCACGCAGGATCCTGGTTAACAGCAGGAGCTGGATTCTGGCTCTATCTCCAACAAGCTGGGGGCTGTGGGCAGCTGTTCAACCTGTCTACGTGCTGCTCCTCCAACTGAATACAGTGATACCAATGGCAGGTTGAGGGGGTTTAAGGCGTTAAAGGTAGGGCAGGCTAGGCCAAGGCCCCACATGTGCTGCCTCCCACAGAACTTCCTCCCTCTTGTGCAGCAAAAGAGCCACAACTGGAAAAACAAGCACAACCAACAGACATTTGTGTTTAGTTCCAAGTATCGGCTCATTTTGCTATCAGCATGTCTGTCAACAGCACGACACACAACAAGGTTGTGTGTCCCTTGAAGACAAGGGCTCTGTCTTTGTGTGTGTGTTATGCCTGACGCATGTCAGTCTCCTGGGGACAGGGTCTGGTTTGGAAGATGGAAAAGGAAGACAAATTCCTGTAGACAAACAGGAGCCTGCCCTGCCCCCCTCCCAACTCCACAGAAAATGAGGAGTAAGCTCTTGAGTGCAGGGTTGTTCATGACAGGCCCTCAAGGCCTTGTACAGAGCGGACCTTTGACAAATGTCTGCTGAACGAATGGGGGCAGGGTTGTGGTGGGGGTTGCATGACGGTAGATATGTAAATCATCTAGCACATAGTAGAAGTGCTACTATCCAACAGATGGATGGATGGATGGGTGGATAGATGGATGGGTGGGTGAATAAGTAGATGGATGGATGATGGACGGATGGATGGACAGATGAACAGACAGACAGGTGGGCTGGGAAGATGAAAGTGACCGGGCTGTACGTTGAAGCCCCAGAAATTCCCCTCCAAGGACTCCCCGCTGAGGAAGCACAGAGGTACCTGTCTGCAGAGCCTTTGATGAGCCGGCGGCAGGTCTCCATCTGCACATCCAGGCCGCGCTTCATGCTGCACATCTCCATGTACTCATGCAGGTGCCGGTTCATGTCACTCTTGGCTGTGGCCAGCTCCAACTAGGAGGAGTCAGCAGGGACAAGGATGAGGGCAAGTCATCCTCATGGCAGAACCCTCAGCAACCTTCCGGCCAGATCCCTCAGTGGTGGCCCCATCGAGGCCTCCCAGACATCAACTCCCTCACCCTTTGCTCTCCACACTGGTCTGCATCCTCTAGAACGGTTTCTGGCCAAAGCAGAATGGTTGCTTAGCAACCCCAGGACCCCTGCCCTGATAAGCCCACCTAGTCCTGAGAATTACACCAAGCTCAGCATCTCTGGGCCCCTTTATATGGACTGGATTAGAAAAGCCCTCAAGTGTCTTTCGTGTTTCTGACCCTTCTCTTCTATTAGACTCCTTCCAGAGAAGGTTCTGGGCTTCCCTTCTTCCTGCATGATAATAGTGGTAACTCTCTTTGATAGAAGTGGTTCAAGTGCACAGCCAGACAGAACTAGACTCAAATGCTGCCTCCCAGTTGTGAGACCTTGGCAAGTCACTTGGTTTCTTTTTTTTTTTTTGAGTTGGAGTCTCACTCTGTTACCCAGATTAGAGTGCAGTGGCCGCTCCCAGCCACTGCACCCTCGACCTGCTGGGCTCCAGCGATCCTTCTGCCTCACCTCAGCCTTCCAAGTAGCTGGAATTACAGGCGTGCACTACCATGCCCGGCTGATTTTTTTTTTTATTTATTGTAGAGATGAGGTCTCACCAAGTTGCCCAGGCAGGTCTCGAACCTGCGGGCTCAGGCAATCCACTCACCTCAGCCTCCCAAACGTGGGATTACAGGCTGAGCCACCGAGCCCGGCCACTTGGTTTCTTTTAACCTCATCTTCTCTGCAAAATGGGTGCACAGTACCTACTATATAGAGCAGAGGTAAGGGTACTGGGAGGGAGTACTTAGTGCACTTGTCACTCAACTGTCAGTTCTGGTTATGAATGGACCATCATCTCACAAGTTTTTTTTTTTTTTTTTGAGTTGGAGTCTCACTCAGTTGCCTAGACTGGAGTGCCATGGCCGCTCCTGGCCACCACAGCCTCGACCTGCTGGGCTCCGGTGATTCTTCCGCCTCAGCCTTCCAAGTAGCTGGAACTACAGGCACGCGCCACCACGCCCGGCAAATTTTTGATTTATTGTAGAGATGAGGTCTCGCCAAGTTGCCTAGGCGGGTCTCAAACCCGCGGGCTCAGGCAATCCACTCACCTCAGCCTCCCAAAGGCACAGGATTATAGGCTGAGCCACCGAGCCCGGCACAAGTATTTTTTTTAACTCTCTGGGATAGTTAGGGATCACCATCCCCATTTCACAAATTAGGAAAGTGAGACCCTAAGAAGGATGTGACTTGCCCAGCTTCAGGCAGGGATCAGTAGGCCTCCTGACTCCCAACCCTGCGCCTACCCTACTCTCTCAGCCCCTGCCCACCCACTGGGGCATCTGACCACCAACACCTCAACCGTGTGGACCTCAGGAGAGCACCATGGTGGGCTCCATGGCCCGAGCCCTCACCTCGATCTGACCTATCGTCTCCTGGTACTCCTTGTCTCTTGTCTTGAAGAAGGATTCAGTCTCATGGATCAAGTTGCCCAAGTTTTCCTCTTGCTGGGGAAATAGAACAAAGGCGACAATTTAGCTGGGTGGTAGGGGCTTCTGGAAAAGAACAGGGGTGAGGGATCACTGAAAGGGGGTGCCCCTAGACCTCCAGCTGCTGGGAAGCCAGGCTTGGGCTCACCTCGCCCTGCAGGTCGATGGTCGGGTTGCAGTTGGTGAAATCCTCCCAGAGCAGAAGCGTGTCTTCATTCTCCTCCCACGTCAGACTGTCACAGTCGTCATCAAAGTCAAAGGTCTCCCGCCTGTGGGTGACACCGGAGGGCATGACTGAACAGAAGCCAGGCTCTAGGGAGCATGCAGGGGACAGAAAGGGGCAGCTGTCCAGGGGTATATCCCTATAAGGCTGCCCTCAAAGAAGACAGAGGTGGTGACCAGAGGGGACATTCACCTTATGCAAAAACTCTTTTAAAATATAGAACGTATGTACTATTTGTACAATTAAGATGCATATATTTAAAGACACCAGGCTTTAAGCAATGGGAACTAAAGGCATTTTCTTCTCAAGTTCAATTCTGTGGTTCCCGTCATTCATTTAACAGCTATTTCTTGAGCCCTTACTTTGCGTGTGATGATTTATCATTGTCTCTGCAACTTGGAAAGGCTGAGCTTATTCCCATTTTACAGATGAAAAAATTGTAACTCAGAAAGGAAAACTCACTTGTCTACAGCCACATGGCTGGCACGTAGCAGAAACTGGGGCTAGAATGCCAGAACTATTTCCCACAGCTTTTTCCTCTGCATCAAGACATCACCAAACACCCTTATGTACTGGGCAGTGGACTGACCACTAAGCATATATTAAAATGCAACCAATTCCACCCTCACAACAATCCCATAAGGTAAGCATAATTATCATTCCTATTTTACAGGTGAGGAAACTGAGGCACAGAGGGATTAGGTGGTCTTCCAGACCCACACATGCTAGAAATTGGACTTGAATTCAAAGCCTAAGTGATTTCAGGGCCTCCCTCTTGGCTAGAACTGGAAGTAGAGTGACCAACTGTCCAGGTTTGCCTGGGACTCTAAGGGGCTTCCCAAGATGCACTGGTTACCCCAACTGAAGGAGGCCTAAAGATCATTCCACCCAACACATCCAATATTCAAAGAGAAGGCTGCATCTGCAGGAGTGAAATCACTTGACTCTGTTAACCAGCAACACAGGATGGTATGGATCGGTCCAGACTCCCACCCCAGGGCTCTCTCCACTGCCTACACCTTCTCCCTGGATAAAGGCACTGCTCTCAACCAGAGGACTACAAACTGGGCTAGGAACCCTGGGCAGGGCCCCAGAAGGACATCTGGTTCAAAAACTGCCTGAGTGTCCCCTGAAGGCAGACTGGGCTGCTCCCGCCAGAAGCAGTTCCCGTGGGTGCCTATAGATGGGTCCGTGAGTCCAGCAGGGTACAGAGCTGGGGGGCGGATGCTGGAGAGGCTGACACGGAGAAAGCCTCCAGGGTCCACCCGTCTCCGCATCACATACTCGACTCCTGACTTCACTTCCTCCCCATATCAGGACTTGAAGGAAACCCCAGCCCAGGGACGGGAAGCCGGAAAGGACTGGAAGACAGGCAGGAGAAGGGACTGAAAAGGGCACAGGTGGGGGCGGAGGAGGGCTGGCCCCGGGGGCAGGGAAAATGGGGAGCTTCTCCTCTCCTCCCAGGTATGAATGAAGTCCAAGCAACCGACGTGGATCAAAACAAAGCACAGCCCTGACACTGTGCATCATTCAAAGACTTCGCTGGAACTGGCCTGGGGCAGCATCGCTGGGTCCTGGCTACAGCTGGCGGAAATGTTGGGAGAGGCCCAGAGACCCGCCTAGGGAGGGGTCAGCTGCCTCACCCAGAAATGCAGAATGGCAGAAGTGGGGGGGGGCGATCAAAATTATCAGAGGACTTTTTTTTTAATATAGGTGACTTTACTACCAGATAACTCTAACTGGATACAGAACCCAATCCAGATCTGTCCACACTGGCACCCATCTCTGCAGCCTGCTCTTGCCTGACTTGGATCTAAATGCTCTTGCTACACGCAGGAGCCGTGGCAAGTACAGCCCCCGCTGGGGTCACACTCAGGATGTGTCCCTTTGTAGCTTACTCCAGTCCTGGTAAGCTTAATGATTCCCTGGGGATGTTATAAGAACAGGGATGACAATTTCTTCAGATAAGTCCTTTAATTCAACCAAATGAATCCAGTTGAGGTCCCCAAGGCACATGAGAAATGCCCAGGTCGATGTTCAGAAAACCTGAACCCAACCACTGGTTCTTTCCAAAAGCCCCTCTTGTCGGCAAATGATATAAGCATGAGATTGGGGGTGTGTCAAAAGATGAATAAAAAATCTAGAGGTCTCCTTAGTACTCTCAAATAGCAAACCCCCTAAAATACAGCCCCCATCTCAGTTCTGTTTCGAGGGAATGGCAGGTCCAGGAAGTGTCAGGCAAAAGAACCGCCGTTCCCACCCAGTTCCGACTACTGCTCCTGACTCTTATCTCCCTCATGATCAGCCTGGCGTGGGGACCAAAGAGGGGAGAGGAAGCAGCAGAGGCAGAAGAGGGGAGTCACTTCTAAGCATGAAGACAGCTGGTATAGGGACTACTACACTAGACAGAGAGCTGGGGGCCTGGCTCTGCCGTAACTCCTTGGGGACCCAGCTTTTGGGGACCTGGTTTCATCCTAACTCCTCTCGTGCCATCTTTGAGCCTGTCTCCTCATCTGTACATTGAAGGGCTGGGTGGAGAGATCACCACGCTACGCAATACTGAGGCAGCCTTGAAACTTTGTTGGAAGGTTAGGCGAGGCCCATGCCCCTGGCTTTTGAAGCAAGTATGATGTCAGAGGCATCTGCTAAATGGAGTTTGCCCACCCTGAAGGGCTTCTTGGAGGTGGCAGAACCTTCCAGAGCTCTGATTGGTGGCATTTTGTTTTGTTTTTTTTGAGTCAGGATCTCATGTTGTCACCAAGACTGGAGTACAGTGGCACAATCACAGCTCACAGCAGCCTCCAACTCCTGGGTTCAAAAGATCCTCCCACCTCAGCCTCTGGAGTAGCTGGAACTACAGGTACGTACTGTCATGCCTGCCTAATTTTTTTTATTTTTTGTAGAGACAGAGTCTCACTATATTGCCCAGGCTGGGCTCAAGCAATCTTCCTGCCTCAGCCTTCCAGAGTGCTGGAGTTACAGGTGTAAGCCAACACTCCCAGCCTTATTGGTGGCATTTGCCAATTTCCTGCAGTGGGAAATTTAAGCTTCTAATGCCACATCACTAAACCTGGAGTGAGCAGACAGGCACACTACCAGCTTCCAAGAGCTGGTACCAGGTGTCTCTTCTATGACTGACCACACCCAGCCCAGACTTTGTCCCCCGAGAAGCACCTCCCAGTAAGGACACACCACAGGGAGAGACAGGCCTGGCTCTGAGTCCTCTAGCTCAGCCAGGTGTCAGCTGAGTGGTCCTGGCCAAGTTGTTTCCCCTCTCAGAATCTCTGTTCCCTACAAAGGGGGAGGGACAGCCCTGTCTGGAGTCAGCAAGGTGACATTTATGAAGCATGCTCCGTGTGAATGGCAGGGGCCATTTCTACAACCCATGTGGTCCCTTGGCCAGTCCATCAGAAGGAAACTAGCGGGGGAGATTGTCTAAGGTCCGATCAAGAATAGCCCACAAGCTGGGCTCGGTGGCTCAGCCTGTAATTCCGTGCCTTTGGGAGGCTGAGGTGAGTGGATTGCCTGAGCCCACGGGTTTGAGGCCTGTCTGGGCAGTGAGACCTCATCTCTACAATAAATCAAAAAATCAGCCGGGCATGGTAGCGCACACCTGTAATTCTGGCTACTCGGAAGGCTGAGGCAGAAGGATCGCCGGAGCCCAGCAGGTCGAGGCTGCGGTGGCCGGGAGCGGCCACTGCACTCCAGTCTGGGCGACAGAGTGAGACTCCAACTCAAAATAAAAATAAAAATAAAAGAATAGCCCACAAATAAGACAACCATGGCCGCTGTCTTTTCTGGGTCCATTCATGACATTAACAGACACAGACACTTCTACACACGGCCAAGGAAAGGAAAGCTCAGACCCAGCATCTGAGGGTCAAGATGCCGGGTCTCTGCTGAAGCAATTCTCTCCTCCCACTCATTTTCTTGAGGGATGCTTTCTAAAGGAAAGGAAAGAGAAAGCCCAGCCTTGTCAACTGTGCCACAGGCCCAGTGATACCTTCCTCTCAAGCTTCCGAGAGATGCTGAAAATAGGAAACTTCCCAAATTATAAATGTTGAAAATGATCCCAGATCTTTCCAGAACACCGTACCGTGGGCTACGTTCAGCCCAGACCTCGGTTTCACCAGCCCTGCCCGGATCTGGGGAGATGGAGAGTGTGGGGACAGCGGGGACACTCACAGCTGGTTAAACATGCGTTTCATCTCGTCCGTGATGTTCATGGAGCCAACCTCGTCCTCTGAGAACCGGTTCACCTCCCCATCCTGCTCAGAGATGTCATCGTCCGAAGCCACCTTGCGCTCTTTCTTTTTGGGGACCACCTGAACCAGAAAGGAGGCAGGCATGGTAACTGGGGGGTTCGGCTGGAATGGGGGGGTACTGGGAATGGAGGCGGCATCTCACAGAATGATGAGTGTGGCTGAGGTCAGCCACTGCTGGGAAAGGCGTGCAGGTCCTCTAAGAAGCAGGCAGCATTGGCAGGAAGCATGAGGGGGAGGCATGCGGGGTGGAGGACAAAGACGCCTGGACCCTTCCCTGCCCTGGGTGGCCCAGGGCTGGCTTGGCTCAGCTCGCACCTTCACCAGAGACGCAGCCCCAGGACCTGGGGAGAGAGGCGGGTCATACCAGGGCCCAGAAGTCACCTGGGAAGTCTCAGAGCCAGCCAGAGAGACAAAGAATTCCTGACAAAGGCCACCACAGCTCCATGCTGCCCAGAGCCCTCCTGCTCACATGCAAAGGCACCAGACGGGCAGCCCAAGGGTCACCAAGCTTCCACTCCAAGCTGACACACCACGAGCAAATGCAGGCTGCGTGGGTCTCCCTGCTCCCAGCAGAGGGGCAGCAGAAGGCATGGGGGTGGGAAGAGGGCCCAGACCCGGCCTGGCTACGTCCAAAGTCACACACATAGAGCGACAACACACCAGGTCACCTGGGTTCAAGCAAAAGCCAAACCACAACCCCACACTCCAGAAGCAGCTTCGGAGAATGACATGTGCCTCATTCGGCGGGACCAGCACCACGCCCGCTCCCAGGACAGCCTCACTGCCGCTAACCTGGTCGCCGTCTCTCGGGGGCACCCACACTGGCACGTTAGGTCGGGGGGGTATCGAGAGCCTCTTTGGGGGGAATGAAAAATGGTCAAAGGCCGACTCCTCCTTGGAATTCTGAGGCCCATCTGCCAGGGCTCAGGCCAGCACCCCCAGTTCTCCCCACAGCCTGGCCAGGGCTCCCCACCCGTGGGGGTGATGCCCAGTTCTGGCATCCAGAGGAAGAGGCAGGAAGCAGGGCAGTGTGTAGAGTGGGGTTGGTGGACCCAGCTTGGAGGGTCAGGAGACCTGAGTTCCAGCCCTTCTCTGCCCCTTCCTTGCGTATAACACACCAGCCCCAGGCCTCGGGCCTTTATCCTGTGGGTGAATCGGTCTAGCTTGCTGGTGGAGTCAGACGCACCCTGATTCTACATTCCTGGCGGGGGAGCAAAGGATTGGGTCACGCTACCTCGGGGAAGGGGAGTGAGCGGGACATCAAGGAAGAGAGGGGTTGGCTAGGCACAGGTGGAGGCCTGGACTACTTTGGGAAGGCGGGGTTGGCTGGTGAGCAGGGAGGCCCTAATCACCTGGAAGATCTTGGACACGTCTTCCGAGTTCCGCTGCTGTGCGACATCGCACAGCTTGGCCGTGATATCGATTCGACGGCAGATGTCCATGTCCACCTTCATGGCCTTTTCTTGGATCTTTGTGTCCAGGTCTGTCATGGGCTGCAGGGAGGACAGCAGGGGTTACATGAGCGAGGGATGGAGCAAGCCTGAGGGGTGGGGGGGAGAGGTGGGGTGCCCCTAGGTATCAGTGGTGGCGCGGGAGGTCCCCGGAGTCTGAAGGAGCCTTGGGCTTTTCCTGGGAGTGAAGGACTGCGTCAGCACTGCTCAGGGTGGGGATGGAGTGAGGGCCTTGGGGGCTGGGGGCTTTGGTGCCCGCAGAGGGGATAGGCTGGTCTCCCTAGGGGCTGGAAGGCATCCTCTCAGCAGACAGAGGGTCAGTGTGTTTTGTTAGAGCAAAGAAAAAAGAAAGACTCCCGCTGTGGAAAGACATCCCTTCTCTTCCCACCCATGCCCCACCTGCAGTTCCTGCCCAGGCAGCAATCTCTCCTGGATTCCCATCACACTGGCAGTGGGGTGTTGCCAGGGACCACAGGTGGGTCTCCCTGGACCCAGCCTCTCGAGGACCTGGGACTTCAGGCATGTGTCACCACTCCCAGCTAACTTCTTAAATTTTTTTGCAGAGACAGTTCTCACTATGTTGCCCAGGCTGATCTCGAACTCCTAGGCTCAAGCAATCCTCCTGCCTCAGCCTTCTGAAGTGCTGGTCCCTGGGGGCTTCTTCCAACCACAGCCAATCTCAAGGCCCTAGGCACCAGGAGCCACACCAGGCCGAGTCACCCACGTTTCAGCTCCCTCTGCTTTTTGGAGGGCTCTCCCATGCACCACCCACTGCTTGAAAGCGGCAGGAAACACAGGCCCCCAGCAGCAAGGAGGCCTTCGCTGCCAACAGCTCCCCCCACCCCACAGTCACTCAGAGGGACCCTGGGTTGTCAAAAGGACATGCATGCTGGCCTCTCCTGACTTTCCTAAGCAATCCTGCTCAAGGCTGCTGGAGGCCTGGGAGTCTCCCGACCAGGCCCAGAGCAGACCACACCGGGCCCTGACCAGCCAGTGCCCCACAGCACCCACACACCGAGGCCTGCCCTCATCTGGGCGAGCTGGAAAGGGGTCAGAGCAACACACACAGACCATCGGGGAGCCTGGCGGAGGGCAGGATGGGTTAAGCGGCAGATTAATGCATCTCTACTCAGACCCAGGGCAGCGGAAGTGGGGAGGGGACAGGAGGAGGGTGCCTGGTCTCTGATGCATCCGATGCATCTGTCATCCTCACGTCAAACGCAGCCAGCCAGGACTCTAACTAGAAGCCGAGCTGGAGCCTCGGAGTGAATAAAGCACTTTGCATGATGGGTGTAGGGGAGGTCATGACGCCGGGGATGGCTGGTGGCACTTACGTCACTCATGAGCCCCTTAAACACCACCAGCTCAGCTTTGAGCCGCTCAATCTTCTCGTTCATCTCCTCCTGGATGGCGTCGGCCTCCTGTGCCGCCTGCGGGAATGGAGACGGGGAGGCCTTAGAGGGACGGAGTACATGGAGGTAGAAGGGACTGGATACCTGGGTCTACCCAGGCTGGGTGCCTGCATGCCAGGGAAGGGCACTAAGGACCTCGTCCCAGCCTGCTTCCCACTGAGCCCTACAAGTGCTTAAAACATCTTTCTATCTTTTTTTTTTCCTTTCTTTTTTTGCGTCAGGGTTTTTGCTCTGTCACCCAGGCTGGAGTACACAATCACGGCTCATTGCAGCCTCCAGCTCTTGGACTCACGTGATCCTCCTGCCTCAGCCTCCTAAGTAGCTAGAACTAAAGGTATGCACCACCCTGCCTGGCTAATTTTTTTTTTTTTTTGTAGAGATGAAGTCTGGCTATGTCTCAAACTCCTAGGCTCAAGCAATCCTCCCACCTCCATCTCCCAAAGTGCTAAGATTACAGGCCTAAGTCACCTGCCAGGCCCTTAAAACACTTTTCAAAGGAGTATTTATCACATGGAAAAATCTATGGTAGATACTGAGAAAAAGAGCAAGTTAATGTAATAAGCGATCCCAATATTAAAATATGAGATCAAACCACATGCAACTGCCAATATTTGACCATCTCTGGTCTCAAAAATGACATGTGTATTAACCTAATGTATACTTGTAGTGGGTGTGGCTGTGCGTGTACTGGGCAAAATGTGTGTCTGCACAAAAAAGACTGGAGGTTGCACACCAGTTTATCAGCATGGAATGGTGAAGCTGTAGGTAACTTTTCTTTGTGCTTTTCTGATTTTTCCTCATTGTTGACCATGAAACATTATATTTGTAAAGAAAAAAGTACTCTTTTTTAGAAAAGAAAGGAAGACGTTCAACCTTTTCCTTCTACATATTGATAATTATCTTAACCTGTCTCTTTCTTAGGAGATAAACATGTTAAATACAGGAAGCAATTTTTAAAATGTTTTGAAAGAACTTTACATGCCTTTCATGGGGTCGCTACGCTTGTTCCCATTTGACTAAAAGGAAAGCAGAGGTCAAGAAGGTAAAGTCTGCTGCTCAGGGTGCACCACAGGCCAGGGAGTAGCAGAGCCCAGAACAAAGAGCCACCAGACAGAACAGAGGGAGGCGCATCCTCGATGCCCACCTTGGAGAGCTTGGTGATGTGTCCACCAGCCCTCTTGGGGCATTTGGTTCTGCTCAGGGCACCCGTAAGCTGGCTGAGAGACCACCTAGTCTGAGCCTCAGGAGAAGAAACAGAGGCCGGAGAGAGGAGACACTGGCCCCAGCTCAGCCAGCAGCAGGGGCAGCCCCAGGACTTGGACCCAAGCTCCCCAACTCTTGTATCAGAGCTTTTCTGCAACACTAAGCTGGTCCAGTCTTGGCTTCCAAGCAGAGGATGCCAAAGACACCTCTCAGCCCCACAGAGGAAAGACTGAGGCAGCAGGAGGTCACACACAGCAGGGGCTGTGCAGGGATTTCCCAGCTTGGTCACATGAAGATTGAGCCCTTGTCCACGTGGCTCCCCCACATCTCCCCGGGTAGGACCACTGAGGTTCTTACCTCTTGCAGCGTGTCCACCATGGTCTGAAGGTTCATGCGTTTGGCGAGCTCCTCCTCCCATCTGCAAAAGTCAAGAAAAACAGGCGATCAGAGGGTGAGCTCCCCATGCCAGTCCGGCCCTCAGACACTATGCCCACACCCATGCTGGGCCTGCTCCAGGGTGGGCAAAAAAGATGCATTGGTGCATCCATCCCTGCCTGCCCCTCTGAGAGCTCCCAGTCTCGGGATGCGGGGTGAGGACAGCTGGGCTGCTGCACAGCCAGAGTACCAGGTGGTGGTGACAAGTGCCACAACAGAGGCATGAGCCCCACGCTGTGGAGACAAAGGCAGGAGGGACTGCCGCCCTGCCTTCCTGCAAACTGTAAAGTGCTGTGCAAGCTCTATTGCTCCTGCTGTTGCAGCAGGATGCGGTGGCAAAGCTGGTCCTTAGGAACTTGGCTGCAGTGGGCTCCACCCCAGGGGGGCTTTTTTGCACCACAAGAAACAAACTTTCATTGTGCTAAGCATTGCAATCTTCATTGTGCTAAGCATTGCAATCTTGTAGCATTGCAATCTTGTCGTCCTGCAGCTTGCCCAAACCAGCACAGAAATCTCCTACTTTGGTGTTATTATCCCACTTAACAGATGTGGAAACTTAGGCTCAGAGAGGTTAAACATTTTGCCCAGAGACACACAGCTAATCAGTGGGTGAGGCTGGAACTCAAACCCAGGTCTGCTTTATTACATCGGCTTTCTGTGTATTATTTCTTTCACATGAGTATTGGTGGAAGCCCAACAGGAAAGGATGGGGGGAAGGTACAAGAGGCTTCAGTACCCCCAGCCTTCACTGCAGGAAGGGGAAGGAGTGGTTCCCAGGGTCGAAGGATGATGACAATACCAGGATAACTCTACTAGGACTGCCTTTGTGCCAGGCACTGTTCTTCGTGAAGCAACTCAGCCCTCCTAGTAACCCTCTGGCATGGGTACTGCCATTATCCCCAGTTTACAGGTGGAGAAAGCAAGGCACAGAGACACGAGCCCAAGGTCAAGGAGAGATTAGGTGGAGCCAGTACTCAAACCCCAGTGGGGCGACTTCAGACTCAGCTCAGAATCCCCCGGCGGAGCTCCCCATAGACCCAGGAACCTCCAAAGCCAAGGCCTCAACCTGGCTCCCCCAACAGAGTCCCCTGCCTCACGGAGGACATGGGAGTAGGTTCCTTCTCCCCTCCATCTTGGGATGGTTTCTCCCCTTCCTCGCCCCACTGCCACCCTCCCAGTGGCCTGGGAACAAGGCAGTCTGGAAGCCTTTTAGGATACTGTTGGGGCCAGCTAAAAATAGGCCAGAGGGGAGGGATGGACGGAGAGTTGGTTACGTCACCAGCTTTTGGAAACAAGAGAAAACGATACTGTTTGCACACACAGAGGAAAATTCCTCCTCTCCCCCACACGGACGGCCCTGGCCAGGGTTCCCGGAGGACACATGCCCTCCCTCTCCCTGTTCTCTCTGGCCTTTACCAGCCCCACAGTAGCTGCTAGGCTGGAATCTGCATGGGCACCACGGTGTGGTCCATCTCTGGGGCCTAACCTGGGAGATCATCTCACTGGAGCCCCCCCATTGTTCAGATGGGGAAACTGAGGCCCCCATACAAGCCATTTGCCCAGGGTCACCCACTCCATCAAGGGCAAGTCCAGCCCCAGGCCACTTCTGGCCCAAAACAACAGGCCCAATGCTAGAGACAGGAATTCCAAGTGGGAAGAAGGTCCCAGGCCACCCCACCCCTGCCCTGCGGGAGAGAGCTGAAGGCCAGGACACAGGCCCCAAGCCGAATCATCTCCCCAGGCCATGCTACTCTAAGAGGAGAGGGTACTCAAGCCCACTCAGCAGAGCAGTTACAGGAGACTGGCCCTGGCTACAGCTTGGCCACTGGATCCAGTCCAGCTACCATGGCTCACAGCAACAGCAGGACACGTCTTTTCCCTTGGACATAGCACCCAGGGTCCTCTTACCCTACCTTATGTCCCGGACAGGCCCTTGGGAAAGCAGCACAGCACCCCAGGCCTCACTCACCTTCTTGTCGAGCAACTACCTCATGAGGAAGGTGGGGCAGGGGTCAACAGACCCATTGCACAGATGGAGAAAACATCTCCCATCTTCCCAGAGAGGAAGCATGACTTGCAGAGACAGCAATTGTAGCAGCACCATTAACTGGTGGGCACAGTCTGGGTCCCACTCACTGGGCTCACTGCCTTGTCCACACACATCATGGACTTTAATTTGAATTATTAATCTTCTCAGGGCAAGAATTTTTACCAGACCCATTTTGCAGATGATGAGGTTCAGAGAGATGAAGTAACTTGACTAAGGTTGCACAGCTAGTAAGTAGGGAGCTGGGGCTCAAATCTAGTAGCCAGTCTCCAGTGAGCATCACCCAGGGATTTTGTCAACATGCAGACCCTGATTCAGCAGACAGCATCTGGGCAATGCTGGTCGCAGCCGGCACCAACTGGCCAGGCCCTGCGAGACTGCAAAATCCAGTCCCTCCATCTCACCCCTCCCTTCCGTCCAGGTGTGCAGCACCCACACCTCAACTGGGTTTCCCGAGCTGCACCCCCGGGGATAAGCTTGCCCAATGATTTCATGGGCCTTTTATTTCCAAAGCTGGCTGGGTGGGCAGTTGGTCCGCTGGTCCCAGGAGATCGAGGACAGACCTCGCACGTGGACAGCAGCTGGCTCAACAGAAGAGCCCGCTGTCCGCCCTGCCGTCGCTCCTGGCGGTGGGGAAACCTGGCTCAGCCAGCTCCCGTGTTGACGGTGCACAACAGCTCTGCCCTTCGGCTGCTCTGACAAGGAGGGGGGGTATTTCTCACTGCACCCAGACACCTGCATGCCCTGCTACTCAGCCCAGAGCCAGGAAGCTCTGAGATTTCATCACCTGCTTTCGAGACACAATCCCTCCCCTGCCCACAGAGCAAGGTTTCAAAGGGGAGGGGGCTTCAGGAAGAGAGACCAGCAAAAACAGCAAGAAGGTACAGATCAGGCACTGTCTGCCCCAGGAGAGGACACACGTACCGTGGGTTTGGTGGGTACCATCCCTGATCTCAGTCTTAGCCCACAGCTGAGCAAATGACTAGCCCAAAGTCTCCGCAGCTAGGAAATGGCAGAGCTTAGATTCTAACCCAAATGTGGCTGAATCCAACTCCTGGGCCCTGAGAGGAGGAGGAGGAGGAGGGGTGGGTTGAACTTAAAGAGACTACCTTGGGGCATGAGGGCCAGCGTTTCCATGAGTTTCTCTCTTAGCATTCCAGGAGCTCAAGCTCCGGCCAAGAGGGCTGGAATCATGGCGTGCCACCCCTGCTAACCTGATCCAACAGTTCATAAAACTTCTAGATCTGGCCAAGCACTTTGGGATTATAGATCACGCCTATAATCCTAGCACTTTAGGAGGCTGAGGTGGAAGGATCACCTGAGGCCAGGAGTTCAAGACCAGCCTGGGCAACATAGCAAGACCCCCATCTCTTATAAACAACAACAACAAAAAAAAAAACTTCCAGATCCTTCCCTTCAGTGTTGGGTGCGAGAAGGGCCATTTACAGATGCCCTTCTCAGTGTGATCACCAGGTCGGCATTCACATCCATGGGTGGAAAGCCTCCCTGAATCCTCCCTTAGGACTGTCTCCATTCTGTGGATGAGGAAACGGAGACTCAGAGGTCAAGTACCGCGTTCCCCCATTCCCTTCCTCCTCCTCGACTTTCTGAAATCCTATCCGTTCTATAGGCTTGTCTCAAATGTCATCTCTTCCCCAAGCCTGGAATCCACCTGGATTGTTTTTCCAACTCCCGGAGCTTGAGGCAGCAGGGCCCCAGGGGCCCATCTTCTCGTCTTCTCGGGCTGCTCAGCTGTAGTGTCCCATGGCACACACTCTCGCCCAGTGGAGCCAGCCCCACGATGCCAGGGACAGCGGTGGGCTCCCCTGGATGGCCACTCCATCTCCATCTTCCCACCACCATTGTCGCAGGAGGTCTCGGGCACTGGGCAAGGAGACAGGGGTGAGATCCCTAGTCTATGTGGGAAAACCGGCTCTGAGGAAGGGCCAGCCTCAGGCTGGAATGCAGCCCTCCCACTAGCCTAGAGAACGGGTTAAAATCACCATGCCTCTGCTTGTTGCAGTATTCCCTGCACCTAAAACCCACCGGGCACTTGGCAAGGAGTCAGACATTTACGGAATGGATTTGTTGAACAAATGAATGAATGAATTCAAGCTGCACTTAGTCCTCAGCCTCCTGCCTGTCACCCCTCCCCCAGCCAGTTTCTTTCACCTGGAGCATCCTTGGCCCGGGGACTCCAGGGAGTCCCCCACACAGCCCCCCACCCGGCTCTGTCCCAGGAGAGGCCAGGGCAGGAAGTAGGCAGGGAGAAGGAGAAGCC